TCAGTCGGTGACAGTCGGGGGAAAGACCGTGGTCGTCGACCCGGCCCTCGAGGCTGAAGGCTTTCAAGGTCATCCTACACAGCCGGACCAGGTTGAAGAAGATGCGAACAACGCTCCAGGTAAGTCGGTGTTGTGACCTACCTTCACTCAAGCTCCATTCACTCATCCCGCTTCCTTTGTCTATTCGCGGCGCGCTAACATTTATAATCTCTCAAGGCACTCCTCAAGGTTCCAACGCCTCTTCTGTACCTTCCCTGCCTAGCTCCTCTCAAGATCAGCCGCAAGCCGCAGCCGCTTCCCCCCCGTTGCCAGACGTTTCGTTGACTCCGGACCCCACCTCCAATGCGCGCCAGTCGCAACTGTCCATGATTGCTGCTTCCGCTAGTGAGATGGTGCCCCACGGTCTCCCAATGGATCACGATGCTGGTCTTACCGATGGTATGCCTAAGATGAGTCCCTCGTGGAACCAGCAGCTGTCCACCCAGGAGCAACTTCTCTTCGACAGCCTCCACGAACATGATCCCACTCTCACTGCAGCGACACAGCGCGCTGCTTCCTTCCCCCGTCCCATTGCTATGAACCCCAACTCTCAGGCCAAGGGCTTTGTGAACGAATTTGGCAACTCTACCAAGCCTACGAAGCCGAAAGTGCGCGGTCGCTTCTCCGCCGCCCGACGCCGAGAGGTTCAGGAAGTTCGCAAGCGGGGCGCATGTATTCGTTGTCGCATGCTGAAGAAACCTGTAGGTTGATTGCCCCTCGGTCTTGAATATGCCCTCTAACAAGTCCTGCTTCTAGTGCTCTGGTGACAGCCCGTGTACCACCTGCGCCAGTGTCGAGAGCGCCCGCTTGTGGAAGCACCCGTGCATTCGCACGCGCATCGCCGAAGAATTCGAGCTGTACAATGCAAGTATGTAACTTGGCCTTGGTGGTGGTTTTCACACGCACTAACCACCGCAGATTTGCACGCTACCCTTGCCTATCACGATGTGAGCGGTATCCGCAATCAAATCAAATTCGAACATTACGCTGGACGTATTGAGGTTACCCACTTTGAGGAGAGCATGGTCTATGTTACTTTCAGCGGACTCCAGGGCCATAAGGCACCCGCATCGACGCTTGACCCTCAGCTTCAGGCTCTCGGAGATGAAACACAATTCCAGGGCCCTCTCCACGAGCTGTATCTGCTGGACAGTGATGCAGATGATCTTCCTGGAAAGATCGAGATGTACATCAAGAAGACTGCGCCGTTCTTCTACGAGCGGGAGGCCTCGGACTTCATGAGACCAACTTTGTTGCTTGCAGCGGAGTTAAGCCAGCAGAAAAAGGTATGTTCTTGACGAATCACCGGAAAGCCAGCAGTGTTGGTTGACTTGTTCAGGATGTGTTGCTCGAACGGGTGCTGGAACTCTGGATTGCCACTCACATTCTGGCCGATGGGGAATTGCAGTGGAAGACATTCTGCAACCCAACTCTTCCTCCCACATCGATGCACTCTCTTGCACAGCCATCAGACGATGGCCGCACACCCATCGATAGTGTCACCAACAGCGAGTCGTACGAGCTCCTATGCAGCCAGCTGCGGGCCGCAACCGAGAAACGCGCGTCGCAGTTGAGCAAGTCGGTCATGAATGATCTCGAGCGGCGACTGCTTCAGCGCCAGCAGAGCGGCTGGTTCGAGACCTTCCTGGTTGCGCTTATTTTGTTGAATTGCGTGGAGCGGACGTGCTGGCTATTCCGGTCCTGGGACGATGAGAACTTTGCTCAGCGGGTAAGCTCACCGCCATACTCCAAAGCGGTCTGTCTGTATACTGACTCGTTTCGCAGTGGCCTTTGGACAAGCGCCCACCTTACTACGCCAATCAAGGCGATCGCTTCTCCGACATCCTGCACATGTTGTTGAAGATGCGTAGCCTTCCGCCCAAGGCTACTCCTCGACCAGATACCGGCATCTTAAAAGCCGTGGATGGTAGTGACGAGAACGCAGCTCGCTGGTTTGACATGATCAAAGTGACTCGTACGTACCCATGAGGCCTTGAACCTGAGATGAATCACTAACCACGAGTTAGCTCTCTTCCTCGAACAACGTCAAGCCACCGTTTTTGACCCTACTGACTCCCGCTCGCTCGACCTCCGCTACGGAGCCAAGCTCCTTCCCCCAACGAACGTCTACACCTAATCCTGCCTTGCTGCGTCTTCTAGGCTCTTCTAGTACTGGTTGACGAAACAGAAAGAAAGCACAAAAAAACAAAGTAAACGACTTTGATGACAACAACAACAACAACAACATTAACAACAACAAACCTCGAAATAAGCAGGCTTCTCTTTTCTTTTCCTCTGCACTATCACAATCTATGATTGACCTGTTGGTTCTAGTATATGGTGTAGATGGATGGGCGTGAGTGTAGGCGTGGGCATGGGCATGGACATGCGAGGAAGCAAAAAGGAACGACAGGAAGGACGGACGGAGAATGAATTGCAGCGATTATGTGTGCGCGTGTTTCTTTCTTTTCCAAAAATTAAACCCCCTGTAGTAATGTAACCGAACGAAATCCATACCTGTGTTTGATTCACGCCTGAGGCACTTGCTGTAAATCAATATATAAGTATCCCGAGAATCATGATGTCCAGATTGAATTCAACGCTCACTACATAAGACAGACAACTTAGTTAACTGTCTATCTTTACACTATGTCAAAATTTTTCATTTATGATTTTTTAGTACTATAAACATGTGCTATTCATTTAGAATCCATATCTCATCTCATCTCTTCCAGTTTATTCTCAAGTAGTTACAGTAGAATCTATTTCTATCTAGTCTATTTATCAGCTAGTACATTCTGCTTAAGTCCTACACTGAGACTCTTTTTTTTTTTTCCATATATATACAGCACATCAAAATCCTCTTTCTTCTACATAATCTGTGCAGTGACCGTGTAGTAGGTTTATGTGTTTGCTGCTTACAATTACTACTACTACTCCACTAGTAGTAGTAGGTATCATTGTTGTCCGTCGTTTGGCTGCTACTATTCGTTGGATTGGGAGTTGAGGGTGGTAACTTAATATATTATTATTAATGCTACTCGTACTAGGTCTATACGCATATATACATTCGATGAGAAGGTACTAAGGATACAGTTGTTTCACACTCTTTTTTCCTTCCCTTTTTCCGCCTTATCACTACGTTGTCCTCTCTCCCTTTATCTTGGTAGTATTCTTCACTGATATCGTACAACCAAACCGGTGTACACTAGCAGAATTACTATAACCTAACATATTGTTGTGGCTGGCAACTCGTCATTCAAATGGCAATATAGAAATGACAAGACAGATGAAATTCAACACAAGTTAGACAACGCCTTCTAGCTAACTTATCAAAGTCCCGGGACGTCACTATAAAAAAAAGAAAACGGGGGACAGAAAGATTCAATGAGAGGTGTCACAGAAAAAAAATGAGCCCAAGCAAAACACCTTTCTAAATCCAGCGTAGCAATATCAAAGAGGATTCCAGTTTACTTCTGGCAGTGTATCCGGTACTTTATAAGGGTCATTGGGGTCTAAAGGGGGCATGTAGAGTGGCCCATCACGGGGGGGCCAATGCAAACCAAACTCGGTCCAATAAGGCTTATCACGCGGAATAGACAGGCCATCAGTTGCCAGAGGCTGAGGGAGAGGCTTGCGAGTCGTTGATGGGGTAAAACGATTGTTCTTGGATTGTGCGTCTGGTCTGCTTGGATTCTCCGTATCAGGGCTGACCGGGACAAGTTTTGGGATAGGCGCCTTGTAGATATCGAACTCAATATGACCGGAACGGCCCACCGCCCCCCATTTTAGGCCTGAACGACTAATTTGCGAGATCAGATCGGTCGCAGCCTGATGAGGGTCCTGGCGTGGTGGCACTTCGTTTGTCGAAACTGGATGGTGGCATCTGTGGCCATTATTTATAGGTTCGCTTTTCGTATCGGAGTCGTAGTCGGTAGCAACATCGGGGTTTTTGGACGAACTCCCAGTACTGAGGGCTGGCTTTTTGGCTTTTGAACGGCCGTTAGAGTCACTAACGGTAAACTCGTCTCGTTTGGGATCATCGCTCTTGTTGACGTCGACAGGGCTGAAAGCTCTGGTGGTGGCGGTGCTTTGAGAGGGAGTTAAGATGCCACCATCGCTAGAAGTACTGGGATTGGTGGTGATCTGAGAGGGAGCCACGATTTCACTAGCGGCACAATCTTTATCCTCACCGTCCGAGAGACTGTAGGTTGGTGGATAACGTGCTGTGGGCGTTTCATCGTCAGAACCTACGGAATCGCCATCCTCGAGAGTCGCTGAGTTAGATGAGGGTGATATAGCCGGAAATCGTCCTCCATCAAGGCGTTCCTCGAGCAACACATAGTAGGTTTCAGCTATCTTATAGCTAGCAAGGTAGTTGCTGTGGCTGGTCAGCAAGGGTCTCACTCCACGCTGATGGTTCATAGGCGAAGTACAACTTACTGATTTGTGGGCATCAACTTCGCTTCCATAGCACTAGTGACCATCATCAGTAGCTCTGTCTCATAAACTAATTCTTTATCTGTCAGATCGAGCAGAGGACAGCCATCTGCTATCGGGAGACCCGTAGAATCCGACAACCAATATCGGTCATTGTCTTTCTCGAAAAGATATAATAGCTTGGGCGCCTAGTGGGTGTCAGGATTTACGTGGCTGGAATTGCTGGAAAGGATATCAACCATTGAACTCTGGTGGTGTACGACGTAACAATAAGATGAAGGAGCTAAGAGGAGATTAGAATCTGAGCACGACCGTGATCATTCATGTGAGGCTGAATGCAAGGTTAATGAGTAGACTTACTGTAGTATGCGAGGCACTTCACGAATACTCTTGGCTTTTTCCTTTTTGGCTGTCTCCGTCCTGTAGCGTTAGGAACCACAGAAGGCAATGCAGCGCAGGTAGAGAGTAAAGTCTTCAGCGTATCTCAAATAAAAATGAGAAAAAGAGAAAATTGACCATTAGTACAGCCACAGTTAATACAAAAAGAATGGGAATCAAAAAGCAGCACAAGTCCACCCACATCTATGAGAAGAGAGTAAAAAGAACATGAAAAGGAGGAAGGAGTGAACGACTAAATAAGGAGCGGACAGGCAAAAGGCATCACATCATCATGATCATACAACATGAAAAAGCATACCATCCATCATACATCATCATCATACATTAGGCAGCCGTGACCTCCTGAACCTGCTCGAGCACCACAGCATAATACTTCCCTTCTACAGAAGTATCGTGGTACGGCCCAGCACCTACCAACGCCCTACACCAGGCTGCCCATTAGTATTTCATTTGAAGACAGCCACTAGGATGACAAAACATAGACAAAGAACAATCACTTACCACCCCTTATACTTCGGCTGATTGAAAATATCCGTAAACGCTTTCAGGATGCGCAACGGCAGCTCCAACATGGAAGGCATTTCCGGACCATCACCGCAAATCGGTAGCCCCAGTTTATTGACGGGAAGATACACAATCTCGGATGGACTTTGCGGATTACGCGCCTCCTGGAAGATCAGAAGGCGCCTCGACGGGGGTGGCATCGTCACTATGTTTCCTGGCTGGTTCTCGGATCTATTTTCCGCGAAGATGGACCAGTTTCCCCGGTTGGCGTGCGCTTGCTAAGTTGGTTTTCCAAAAATGGCGTCGCGACTATCCACCGACTATGCTTTCCACTTTGCTGAGAACAATTATGAAATTTGCTAGTGGATGAGCCGAATTGAGCACCCGTTCTGTGCCAAGGGTAAGCCTACATTTAGGAGGCATCATGCAGGTTGAACGCACCAGATCGGGCCAAGATTATTGCGAGGTTGAGATTGAAGCCCCACTGAGGGTTTGAGAGGTCCGAGAGCACGATGCAGCGAATGCCCTGAAGGGAAAAGGTAAGAATGATAGTACCGAATAGATACTGCGTGGATGCAGCGAACTTTCGCGCGGCGCGTCGCATCGCCAAACACGTGCGCGGGGGCGGGGACTGCCTTATCGGGAAGCCCCTTATCGTGACCTCCACTTTCCCAATTCGGAAAGGGAAGTTTTGCGGTAGTGACTCGCCCCATCTACTTTGTGCTTATAGCACTAATTGGCAATTTTTCTCTAATATAATAGGAAAGATAGTATATATAGTATATGTGAATCCAATAAGTGTATGCATGCAATGGCTAAATCGAATGTCAGGGTATCATAGCAAAGGCTCTCGCCCAGACTGCCTCATCAACAAACGCCAAAAGCACGAATAGCCCCGGCAGTAACACTTCCCCTCAGGACGTAGGACTATGTACATCTACGTATCAAGCTCTCCATCCAATACGCGTCGAGCTGCATCTAGGCGCCGTCTCAGTAATCGCACCTGCTTCGGGTCCGGGTTCTCGGACGTCGTGATGTTCTGCAAGTCCAAGCAAACATTGCCCAGACTCTGGAATAGCCGCTCTAACAGATGAGTGTCATCGTCGTTCAAGCCCAAATTCCCCTTCGCAGTGGCACTCGGGTGAGGGCTGGAAGCTGCGCGGACGGTGGACACGAGAGATGATACCAAGGATGTCGGCGTGGTAGATCCGGTGGTTGCAGAATCTGACCGTCGCGGGGGCAAGTTGGCCTCAGGATAGAGGCTAGCTTTATCCCGCCGACTGGGCTGTCTGCGAATAACCCGGGGGGTTCCTTCACCGTCCCCATATTGGGCGCCATTGGAATCATCTACATCCGAAGGGTGGTTGTTGCGTAGCTCTAGTAGCAGTTAGTTACCCACGCCTTGTGAGATGCTCTTCATGAATCCTTACCATCGTTGAACTTCCGGTCCCAATAGAGGACACTTTCAAGATCATCACGATCCCCTTCGGTAGCCGTAGCAAACGTCGCCACAGTGGATATGGAGGTAGTGCTATTTGCGCGAGAATGGCGGGTGGAACGGGGGTCGATCGGCCGCGTCGTTTCCACAGACGATGTTGAAACATTGCTCTCCCGTCGCAAGCGAGCCTGCGTGTAGTTTCCTAGAGCGCTATGTAGGATGAAATGCTCATAGTCGAAAGCATCCTCTCGCTCCTCGTGCGGTGTATCCTCCAAGCTCTGTGGAGCCGCTGGAAAAGCCTCCAACGAATCATCAAACTCATCATCCAGGGGTTCGCGCAAGATCTCGTCCAAGGCCTGGCGATCCAATCCGTCATCGGCGCCATTTATGTAATATTCACCCTCTTCTGCGTCCTCATAGAGCGTCCCAGCAACAGACTTTCCGTCATCGTCGTCCTCCCTGGACTCGTAACCCCCATAGGTCGGCTCGGCATGTGATGCCTGGGTAGAAGGCAGTTCTCGTTTTCTTTGACTTGTCTGACGGGATAGACTTGTCTGACGGGAGACACCAACCTCGGGCTCATATCTGGCACTTCCATAGTCACTGCGGTGCTGACTATCTTGCGTATATCCAGCGGACCGCCCATTCCCAGTATTAGCGTCAATATTGGTCCGGCGCTCTTTCACCTCCGCTGCACTGGGTGCCCATTGGTCCGTTGCGGAAAGAGGGCTCGGGGTCCGCAAACTTTGCATGCTGCGTCGACGTAGGTTATCCTCCTGGGCTCTAACCTTTAAGCTAGATATCTTGATATGAAGGCCCTTCATCTGATCCTGGAGATCCCGCACCTGCAGCTGCGACTGGGATCGAGAGGGAGGTTCATAAGTTGGTTGGACCGAATTGGGTCCGTTCAAGGTCTCAGAAGACTCATCCTCGATTACTTCCTCGGAAATGCCCAAGCCTTTGGGTGAATCAGAGGCGGCTCGCGGGTTCGACACCGGGGGCGAAGAACGGATCTGTGGCCTCTGCATCGATGACACGGACGCACGATGGGTGAGGTACGCACGCGTTGGATCATAGCGGAAGCTTCGCTCGTCATGATGAAGGTTGGGGGCCGTGGTTGAGCCGAGAGCGCTCACCGACCGGGAGAGATTGCGCTCAACGGCAGGCAGACTCGATTGCGCTGCAGAAGGTAGGTTGGTTTCGCTGTGAACACGGGAATGACCGTTGTTATTGATTGCGTCCTGGGATGATGTATAGGTCGCGCGTGGTCGATTAGCTGAGCCTCTGCGGTCGGCACGGGAGATGGATTGGTACAATCCACCAACTGGCTGACCCAGTCCCAGGGGTTGGTGACCCACGGATGGCGTTGGTGATGCCGACAGCGACGGGGACGCGCGCATTGACGTACGGGCTCGGCTTAGATTGCCCTCCATGAGCTGCATACCAGTGCAACAGTTAGTCACTAGTCAAGGTTTCATAAGCGCGCATGAAACACATGGTCAACATACCGTGAGGCGCTTCTTCGCATTCTCCAGAATTCTCTCCGCCTCGGTGCTCAAAACAGCCGACGAGAGCTCCACCCCAGATCCGCCTTTCTCCGTGGTCGCCATTAGACTCGGAGTCGAACCATTTCCTTCCAGACTATCAATCGCAGACCGTACACCTTCAGGGACTTGGTGAGGATTTTGCACCGTACCGCGACTCCCCTGGCGGTCCTTAGCGGCGTCCTGCGACGAGTCGCTAGCACCACTAATTGTCGAGCTAGACGAGCTGCTCCACGCCGCCATTTCCCTAGCCTCCGCCTCTGCCGTCTCGCGTTGCGAAACAGGCGAACCCGCCATCCGACCCGCCTGAGACAGAAATGGAAGGGTCCTCATGTGCGCCGGCGACGACGAGACACTATCCTCCTCCCCGATGTCCGACAATCGACGACTAGAATCCTGAACTTCACTTGGCCACATGCGACGCGAGAAACCTATTTTCTGAGGCCGGCTGCCATATGAGAGAGCAATACCGGCGGAACCAACGCCTCGACCCTGGTCGTCAACATCCTCGGGTGCCGTGCGGTTCTCGTAAAAGGACTGGAGGTTGGACAAAGAGGGGAGGTTGAATGGCGGGGACGGGGTGGAGGACTCGCGCTCATTGTGGTCGAACGGTAGAATCATATCGGGGTTCGAGAGGGTCGGCGATGGGGGGATCGGAGGTGGTGGTGGACGAGGAGAGTGTCCAGCATCCTCGGCGGACAGCATGCTTATACCGTGCTGTGTAGCTGTTGAGGCCGGTGTATGTATCTAATGACGAAAGAAATCAAAGTATATCCCAGCACACGACAGGAATCGGCGCTCAGACCCAGGCCATCTGCAACCAGGGGAGGGGATGAAGGCTCGTCTGGTTCAGCTGGAGAGGTCTGGGCCTGCAGGTAGGACCAGGATTGAAGGGATGAAGGTCAGTGTGGTAATATCTGCAAGAGGGGATCTGCTGCTGGAGATGCAGAGATGCAATCGCAAAGTCAATCTGAGACAGGTTGGGCACTACCCTGGTCGAATCAGCGAGTGTGGAGGGCGGTGGCAGGCGAGGTCAGCGTAGACTTCGATTAGAAATTAGGGAAATAAAAACAAATTAGAATTAAGCATTAACTATTAAAAGCATCGAAGACGGGAAGAAGCAAAAAAGAAATAGAAGGAAAAGGAAACCGAAAGGAGGGAATAAGATTTGGGGAAAGAGAGAGAGAAGGCAGCAAGGATGCGAACTGGAAAGGAAAGAAGAGGAGTCAAATGGCCAGTTCCACGAATGCAACCAGTTCAGTTCAGTTCAACTCAGTTCAATTCAGTCCAACACCAAAAGAAAGTGTTCGGGGAGGGGGGGCCAATTCCAATTTGGGTTTGGGGAAATTTCCACTGCCATAATTAATCTTGTCCCTGCTTTTTTTTCTCACCCGTTCCCTTTTTTGCCTTTTTTTTTCTCTTCGTTTCTTTCTCTACCAATCTCAATTAGGCAGGGATCTGAGCTCGTCGCTGGAGATCCTCAATCAACGGTTGAGAACGATAAGAATCCTCAGGAGACAGTGGGTTACTGGTTCATGGGAGAGAGATGGAGCAACTAAACACCTACTGGAGAGGTGGAGTGAGACCGATCCAAAGAACCGAACAGACAGGGGATGTACAGTACGTAGTTAGGTACTACAGTAGTAGTATCTAAGCCATGGTACATTGTTCCCTCTCGGTTACCCACAGATAGCTACTTACTTAAGTGCATGCATTTCATTTAACTAAACCTTGAGAAACTTCCAGGATACAAAATGATCATTCATTTCCACCCCCCTCATCATTACTATCACTGCATACATCAACAAGCCCAGTTCCAGCCCGGTTCCTGAACCACCAAACCAATCCCGGAGATCGTCATTTAACGATCGGTCCGGCCTAAATTCAGCTGCACCATGGAACCAACCTCATTCGGCCATACTAATTTAAGTTACTATGACTACTGACTAACTCCGTACAGAGCTGAGATCTTCCCCCCCTGAGATTATGAAACACCATCCCCTCCGGGAGGCTACCTGCTAGATGCATCAGGAGTAGATGCCTGGGGAGGATGCTGTGCAGCTTCTCCGGCTTCATGGGAAGTGGCGTCTCTAACACGGGACGTGCGGTTTCAGAATCTTGGGGCCATGGGGGCGGTAACATCCGTTTGGGGGGTGTCTTTTCTGCGCTCGCTGCTACCCTACCTTGACACTATCTTTCCTATGGTTAACTATGGGGAAGTGTAATGTACGGCAAGATACTAAGTACTTTGCTACGTCTTGGAATCATGCAAAATAAATTATAAATATCAAAATGCTTTTTTCTGACTCGTTTTGGTCCCATGTCTATCACAGACCCTGTACAGATGGAGATATCACCTATAAAGAAAAAGGAATCAATATAATAAGAATCCAACGAACACCTCGATGAGCAAATGAAATGCCTTTGTAAAAGAAAAATCCCGGCCAATAGTACAATGTTCCCCTGCTAAGGGACCGAAACGGAAAGACTCTCTACCGGATCTTCTCCAGCAGCAGCTTCGCACCACTGCTGACCGGGCTGCCCTTCTTTCCATCCTTGCTGGTCTCCGACGACGCCTTCTCCAGCGCCTTCTTGTTCTTCTTCAGCGTCTTCAGCAACTCGGCCTTCTTCTCGAAGTCGTCCGACTCCGCAAGAGCCACCACGACGAAAACATTGGATCCTGTGGCCCACGACATGGTCTCTTCTTGAATCTGCTCGTAGAAAAGACCGTGGAAGTTGAGCGGAGGCTGCACCTTCTCGACCTTCTTCTCGGCGGGGTTGAACCGTCCACCCTGAACCAGTGACTTGAGCAACCGGCCCACGAACGGAGAGTCCTTGGTGTCGGCTCTGGATTTGGCGGCCTCGGCCACGGCGGCCAATGCGGCGCTCTTGTCTCCATCGGCTTCGAACAGCACCTCGGAGATGAATTGGCATCCGAAGCTCGTCTCGAGGAGAGAGTCGGCACGTGCGGCAATGAGCTCGAGCACGTTAGCCGACGCAGCCTTGACCAGCTCCTGTCGTCGAAGCTCGGGGTCCTTCTTGGAGGTCTCCTTGCGGATTTCACGAACCTCCTTCAGCAACTCATGGTCGCCGTCAGGCAGAAGCCACTTGACCCGATCGCCGACGAACGGATACAGGATGGGGATACGCGCTGTCAAGTCGTTCACTTGGAAGAGCAGCTCTTCGTTCCGAGCCTCGGCATCCATTCCCTGGTTCAGGAGTTCGGGGAAGACCAACTTCGAGGTAAGCTTGGTATCATCAATAACTTCGTACGCGGTCAACAGAACCAAATGTCCGTGGAGATCGCCGGCCATCATCTTGATGGTATCTCTGTAGAAGCGGGTAAGGAGCTTGCGGTCCTTGGCGTTGGAGTACGCCAGACTCAACGACATCACCCGGGCACCGGACTTGGTGAAAGCCAAGTTCTTGACCAGGTCTCCCTCTTCATCGCCCTTCAGCAGCTCAACAAACTCGTTAGCCTCGGAGCTGCCCGGCTTAGTGTTAAGGTAGTACTGCAGCATGGCGTCGTGCAGGATGGTGAAACCGGAGTTGCGCTTCTGCACCAGCTGGTTGACAAGCTCCCAGAGGTAGTGCATGATGGGGCCCCTCTTCTCCGGGTGCGCCTCGAGGATCTTAGAGAGGTCCGCATCAGGCGGGCCGTTCTTGTCATCCCTGAAGATGACGAATTCCGGACCGTACCACTCACGCAGAAGGTTCGCCTTCTGTTCCTTCGTCGCAACGGTGCGGTAGATATCGTCGAGAATCCAGGACCCCTCGGGGTGTCTGATGAGTCTCTTGACATGTCCGTAGAACTCAGGCACGATCAAATCACGAACCTCGGCATCACCGTGAACAATCAACTTTCCGACCAGGAACTTGGCGTACCGGCTCTGCGCAAGCTCATTGTAGCTACCCTTCAGTTCCGTGGCGATCATCTTCCGTTGCTCCATGTTGGCGTATTTGAGGGCCGTCTGGATGACGCGGACCGAGTCATGCTTGAAGACAAAGTCCTTCACACGTCCAGTGATGATTTCAAAAAGCTCCTTAATGAGCTTCTTCCGCTCCTCGAGTGGAACATGAGACTTGCGACGCAGCTGCTCCCACAGCTTTTTCGAGCGACCGATCATATCAGCGTTGGGTCTGGCGGCCTTGCGCTCTTGCAGGAGGGCCTTTTGCTTCGCATGCGATTCGCGCGACGTAGACTTATCTAAATGAACAAAAGCAGCACATTAGTACCAGACCTTTTGCACCAGAGAGGAATTTCAATCAATCAAGCATACTTTGCTGAGCATCCGCATCCGCAGACTTGGACTTCTTCCCAGTATCTTCTTCCTCAACATCTTCCATATCAACATCCTCTTCCTCGTCATCCTCATCATCCAAAGCATCAATCTCCGAATCATCAACATCATCCAGATCAAAGTCATCCTCATCATCATCATCCTCAGAATCAGACTCCTCCTTCTGCGCCTTCTTCTTGCTAGAAGTCTTCTTATCCTTCTTTCCACCCTTATCGCCCTTCTTCGACAACACAGACTTGGAAGCCTTCACGGGGGCCGCAGACGACTTGCTCTTCTTCGCGGGCACGGACACCGGCGTCTTGGTCCGTTTTCCATTGCGCTCGTCACCGGCGTCTACTCGACGCTTTACCCCGACCATGGTGGAGAATATGTCTGGAAATCGAACAAAAAGAGGCTATACCTTTGAGAAGTAAAATGAAAGCTTCTCTGGCGGGGATATGAGATAGAAAAAAATAAAAAATATAAAATGGTACGCCGCCCGCGGGTTAGCTTTGCTCTCTTTTGTCCCGGAGAATGGACTTTTTTTTCCCTAACCGTTTTTTGCTTTTTTCGGGGGAACAGGGCGGTCGAGATTTGGTTGGGTTTGTTTTGTTTGCATCTGCTGATAAGAAGGGTGTCCGTGTCTACTAACTTATCTATCTAATGGGGTTCCCGCGGGTGATGGTCTGGATTAATTGTGAATTGGGATGATTTGGTTTTATTGGTTTCTAGTCATGTTTATGGATGCAGATAAAAAGAAAAAGATTTCGCATGCAGGAATCTCTATCGATGAATCTAAAGAAACATCAAAAGTCACCGATGCAAAGCCCCGACAGCGCGCAATGCGATTAGGTTTAAGCCAAAACCCACACAAATGAATCAGACAAGCAACAAGCACAACTGTCGAGGGTGATTGAACAGAGCAAAAGAAAAAAAAAGTGACACTTCAATGGTAATCCCCATCCAGACGCCTACAGATTATGAATTACCCAGTATATAGTTACACACCCCCCTGCGCTCGTATCACGCATCATGTACCTCCGATTCCGCATTGACCGGCGGTGCTTTGAAAGTACCTAGCTCTGAGCCCAGATTGCTTGGGCCTCTTTTACGGCCTGGGATGTGAAATCCAAGAGTCGAAGATTTAGAGGTACTGGAGTTCTGGGAGGAGTCGTTTGTAAAGTCACCGAACCGAGAGAAGATGCTCTTCCGCTTTGGTTTGACTTCCTCGTCGTCGAGCGCAACCTCTTCGTATTGCTCTTCTTCCATGGCTTCCGGTTGCTTGCTTAGATTCGAGTATAGCGTAGATGGTGTTGATGTTATATGAGAGACTCGAGAGTCGAGCGATGTTCGAGATGGCATCGCATCGGTATAGCATACGGGTGATCGGGCGGAGATATCCTGGAGGCGCAGTGTAAGTCACTCTTGCGACAAAAAAGTGAGATCAAGTACGGATGGGTAATTACAAATGATCGGCGATACGAATCGAATGATTCGCGAGATATCGAGAAGGGTTCGTTCTCATTTACGAGATCGCGATGGTGCGAGGATCTCGGGGAACCAGGGTACTTGCGCCAGAAGCCCTGTTTCTCTGGAGGTGAGGGCTATTGACATGTGAGTTACTTGTTCCGCATGCGAATAAGACCCGCCATGTGATTGTAACGGTAGTGGTTCACATACGGGATGGTAGATTCCATTGGCGTCGACGACTGGCGGGAAGAGGATAGAGTTAGCGGGGTAAATTAAGGATCCATTGAAAGGGTCCCAGGTGGCATACCACTGAGTTTATATTCAGGTGGTTCATTTTCCGAACTCTTCCTGAAGTTCAAAGGACTCGAGCCATGAGTGTCGAGTGAGGCATGGCTAGCAGAGTTATCGTTGGGAGCGGCACTGACTTCCCCGCCATTGGGGGCAGTGGACTTTCTGGACAAGAAGTTGCGGAACGGCGCCATGGTGAAATGATAAGGAAGGGAAGCAGTCGCGTAGACGCAAAGAGACGGAGGGTCCCTGACAGGAGAATAAATATGCTGAGGTGGTCAAGCAACAATGGCGAGACCTGAACCGGGCGAGTTGCTTGCCAGGATGTACAACGCTCAAACCTCACATGATCGGCGGTCTCGGGCATCGGTTCAATTTATGAAAGGGTGGTTCATCCGCTGGCGGTGCAATCACAATCTGTTGGACGGGGTCGTTCCGACTTTTGCGAGGGGTAAAAGAAAAAAATTGGAAGAAGAAAAAAAAATACTAATGGTTCTCAACACAGTTGATTTGCCACTGAGTTGTGTGCAACGAACCTATCCAGACTAGTCAGGCATTTTGATCTCTCACTAGTCGAAAACAAGGCCGGGGAACTTTGGGCATATCATCATCGCCTTTATCCCAGGCATTGTAGTTCCATACTAGTGTCCGAGATAGCGTCATTGTGCCCCATTCATGTTCCTTTTTTATGAGGGGGTCTATTCATCACCTGACTAAGCGTCTCCTTGTCTTGGTAACGTCAACAATCCCATCGTATACGTAGTCGATTTGGTGCCATTACTACATGACCACAACTCTACTTAGACCATCAATGGTTACTTACTTTGTTCCTTAACTCCCCACAGTTCTTCTGAACTCTGTGGTGGCTACTCATCTGCCATGATTGTTTTTTGTTGCTTTGTTTTCCCCCTTGCCGCATGCTAATCTGCATGACCTGCAAGAATACCACTGTAAAGAACTCACATTCATTCATATCAAGCAAGGCGACATAGCTCGCTGTAGATCATACTTACTTGCATTGGCGTCGTCACTTTCATAAGTCAGAAGTTGTGGCTTGCAGAACCCCATCCTCATACATGCCAAACTATCCGATACGATATCCCATTGGCTGTGTTCCCAAGCCAGGGGGCACATGCAACCTCTGCCGACTGTGCTTCATTGAAGTCTATCTAGATACCTCTGACTAGCTATATTGATGCAGACTCTTAAGGTGCTAACAGCATAGTACTTGTGCAATGCAGTCTGTAGGTATTGATCTCTTTCCGGCTAGCAGACTATAGACGTCCCGAGTCGATTGTGCTCTAGTCCGAGGACAATTGGCCCATCTTGGTTGGGTCATCATTACTTTTGGAAATTGACACATACACAACATATACATATCCCAGTTGCAGCTATGTTCACGCCTCTCGTATCTGATTCAACATTGGCAAGAGCTTCCAACGTTCTGCCTCTGAAGGCTGCCGACCTAGTAGTATGCGGCCAACAAACACCTTTGGAGGGCACCTACCCGTGAAGCTCCTGCCAAACCTAACTGAGTCGGTAGGGTGCTTGCCATATCTACTGGGTGTCTAGATTGTATTATCGCTCATCTCATCGTCTTTTCGAGACACCTCATCTTGATTCCTCTGGCTCATTCCCCTGGTGATCTAGATATCACCATAACTTGAGAAAGTATAGGTCAGGCTCTCCGTGTTTTGCTACGGGCAGATAATCGACTCCCGTCTGAGATGGCGACACAATCAATTCAGGGTCTAGGTGTATGATCTAACATCATGTGTCCCCAGCCTACTTTACTATCAACTATCACCATGCCTAAACTTTCAGCCCTGATTTTTTCGATACTATCGATTTTCATTTTGGCCGGAGTAGTCTCTTCCACTGTCCTCCCCCGAAATATCAGACGCGAAGTTACCGCACCCTACTGTGAAGATAGAACCGGCCGCCTGATTACTACTCTGCGCCGTGACATTCATGGCGACTACAATGCCGATGTCGAAGCTATCAGCGATTCCACTCCGGAAAGAATAGCCGCCCCTCTCTGCAGCGACAATTCTCAATGCAACCTTGGCCAAATATGCAATCAAGGTTTCTGTGTCGCAGGTTGTAAGTCCAATGTGGACTGTTCTCGCTTTCACACCTGTTCCAAAGGGTCGTGCACAGATAGCCGTGGCAGCAGATGCGCCCCAAATAGGAGCAGATGTTCTCTCAGCGCCGAATGCTGCTCGGGTCGGTGCAAGCGCTGGGGCGGTCTCCTGGGAAGAAGAAGATGCAGGGGCTTTAGAGATATGTGAGGTTGTTGGCCTGGCTGCTTCTATTGAAGCCTTGTGTGTGCAGGTTATTGGCCTGAGGGAATCGCAGCATCGTCTACATGTTGTGGCGCTGAATGTGTGTTACTTCTTGCGAGCACAACGCTAATTCCTACCGTCTCACCTATTGCATGAATCATGTATCAATATCAGAGCAGAGGGAATTGAAAAGAAAGCATCTTTAGACGCCATGGTGATTGTATTAGTAGGTTTTTGTTCATTGTAGTAAGCCAGTTACGGATAGACAAAGGTACGCTTTGAACCTTACTAGTGTGTATCCGTGTCGTCAAAACCTCACACCGGCTAGAGGAGTGGGTAATGTAATGACATATTCACTCAATGGAATTATATCTAACATAGAAATCTGCATTTTCTCCATATAATTAGCGAATATCGAGTGAATTCGGAGAGCAGTAAATAATATATAAGGAGGGTACAATAGTAATATTTAATATCTGTCACGGATAGTCCGGTGGGAGGTCAGCCGCCAAGTCAATAACCTTGCTTAGGTAATTGCCAGCGGGACTGGTGCCTGGTACGAATCCCGGGGTCGTCATTGTACTCGTGCGAGTAATCCACGATGCTATGAGGCGCTAAGCAATGGAAGTGACCCTTGAGGGAAGCAATTCTGCAGAGACATTTCCACCCCGGGATGGCGTCGCCAGATTACACCGTCCCGTTACAGGGAAGTTGGCACTTTGGCTGAGCAACTACTATTCTCTTCTTTTTGCTGTTTTATTTTTGCCTCCATATGAGCCACTATCGTCGTCCCTTCTCATTTCTTTGCTAATGGTTTTGTCGCTCTGCTTGCTATCCTTTTTATTTCTTTTATTTTTTTTTATTTATTCATATCTAAATGCAGATGGTTGTTCAGGTTTTTACTTACTAGTACTTGTTGTCTTGGGCTTCGGTTCCGCTGCGGTATATATCATGGTCATCCCAGTCCACTCTACCCTGCTGGCCACCTCTACGAGCGTACTATGGCATGGAACCTGCTTCACTTCAAGTGTATATAGAATATGCGACATCATGTTATCCCTGGTGAATTTATAAAGCCCATTTATGAAAGAGCACAACCTGTAGACAGGTAGTACACTATTCCAGAATCTAACTGGCATCATATTTACTATGCCGCATTCACCTCACCCATGAACCTTCTTTCCCCCATTGCAGCGCACCTGCACCTTCCCTAGCTACTAAGCATGTAACAAAGAACCAGTTGTCTGCTATCCTGCCTGGTACTAGCTTGCATCTCTCATCCTCCCAATTTTCGAACACCATTCATCGTTCAGTATACCCCCCGGGCTCACAACTAAAGCAGCAAACCCGACCTCGACATACTTCTTCTTACAGAAGTGTCGGTGACAGTTACAGTCCCCGCCAGCGCAGTCACTTAGGAGAGGCCTTCCTGTGTCTAGATTAGACCACTGCTTTCCTGCATCTACACCGGCTGCATCCCCATCAAAAGACTTCTCACCCACCGAACGCATCATGTATTTCTGGGTTGGTTGGGCGCTCTGGCAGAAACTGAGCTTTGTAAGATCCCCAAGGCCTTGGGAACGAGGAATGTCGCTAATTTGCGACTAGGCGCTCGCAGGTCTTCTGGTAAGGATCCAGTACTAGATTGGCACACACCCCACTGACACGTCAAGGCATTGGTACTGGTGTACTCATTCATCGTCCTAGCCTACAACAGGCGAAAGACACAGAAGTATGCCACCGCCGAAGCACGACAGAAAGCAGAGATGCAACCCATGCTGGCCGAACCGAGCGAGATACCGTTTGGTGCTAGAGCTCTGGAGAAGGGGATTCAAGTAGAAGGCATATGGACACCCGATTGCCGTTCTGCGAGACAATCCACCACTCACTCGGGTAGTAGACCTGAAAGTATTGCGTCGGCACCCAAGCCGACGTTGATGGCGTTGACAGGAGATGATATCCAAGGTCTTGAGCGGACATACCAACCGGCACCTAGCCCGAGCCTCTATGATCAGTGCAACTCCCCAAAGGTTCTAGACATTGAATATGGACAATCAGAGTACATCTCTCTCTCACCAACCAACCAGTCTCTACAACTGGATGGCCCCATTAGTATTGAACCGGAATGCCCTCCAGATCTAGACAAGCGTCGCTCAAGGTGGTTTGGTGCGCGAAGCTCCTGGGTCAAGAAGCCCTTCGATAGTTACAAAAGAAGATCAACACCAGAGGGTAAGATCCTGAAGTATGTTGGCATAAATTCGAAAAGCTAAGCATACACAGGTCTTCGCCGCACTTCATCGGAGAGCTTCAGAAGGAGAATCAGCAAAATTATAGACGAGAACATCCGGACAAACCCAGCTGAAATATATCAACTAAGAGCCATTAACCAGGAGACGCTCGAAGGCCGTAGAACGCCATCACCGACGAGGTCGCAAGGGTTTTCAAATGACGTGCTATGAGGTCTGAGACCAGATCATTTTGCCAATCTTCCAGGCAGCCTCTGCTGTTGACCGTGTTACATGCAATGGCAACAATACTATCGAAGGGCCCATGAACGAATCGTTGGATATCATTTAGTCATTGAAAAGCCTCGTTTAGTTACCATGACGAACTATGTTGCGAAACAAATGCACGCCTGGAAGCGCGCAGGACACGGAACGGAAACAGAATGTATTTCTTTTCTTCTCCCCTTTGTGATACAGAGCAAGTACGTGCTTCATATGCAGTCGAATAACACAGGTTTGGCCTGGCAGTTACTGTATTAACGTAGACATAAAGTGGACTCATAGTTGTAGGTACATGGCCCACCCAAGGCAACAAGCTGATGCCAGTGGGCACGTGATGTCGCGACTGCCTGGACGCGTCCACAATCTCAACATGACTTGAATAACGCGCTGCGACAACGGCAATTTGCCACCATAGAATAAAAAAACCACGGGTTTCTGGACAATTTTGCCTTATTGCACACGGAATCCGAATTGTGTGTTGCAATCCATCCAGTGGTGAAATTTGAACCACATTAGGAAACCGCAACTGATCTAGACGCGTGTGCGCGCGGTTAACAGGCTACATCTATTGCCATTCCCCCGGAGATCTTTGCAGTAGAGCTACAAAAGCCACTGGATTCTGACGCTACAGAAGTTTGAATCCTTCGTGAAAGATGACTGCTGACGCTGATACTCAGAATGAGTATGACGATGGGCTTCCAGGCCCCGGAGCGCCCACGCCACTCTCTTCCCTGGAGGTGAGCAATTCATACGGCAAACCAATATGCTTGGTGATGTGTAGGTGAAGTTCAAGTGCTGATGCTTTTTGTAATAGGGTGTTTCGGGCCTGACAAGTAGGGATATCAAGCTGTTTGTTGATGCTGGATACAACACCGTTGAGTCGGTTGCATATACGTACGTCTTTCCTTTGCCAGTCTGGTTATGTGTCAATGTCAATTCCAGCTCTGCTCACAACCACGTTCTTGCGTATGGTATAGGCCAAAGCGTTTGTTGGAACAAATCAAGGGTATCTCGGAACAGAAAGCAACCAAGGTCCTGGTCGAGGGTGAGTACTGTTCTTGTGGCATTGGAAGTCGTGCGCGAATATCTTCTCTGACTCCGTGATTTTGTAGCTATGAAGCTTGTGCCGATGGGCTTTACTACCGCGACCGAAATGCATGCGCGACGAAACGAACTCATCTCAATTACGACAGGCTCTAAGCAGTTAGACACCCTTCTTGGAGGTGGCATCGAGACAGGCTCTATTACGGAGATATTCGGAGAATTCAGGACAGGAAAAAGTCAAATATGTCATACACTCGCCGTGACTTGCCAATTGCCTTTTGACATGGGCGGAGGAGAAGGAAAATGTCTGTACATTGACACAGAAGGTACCTTTCGACCGGTGCGTCTATTGGCGGTTGCACAGCGATACGGGCTGGTGGGAGAAGAGGTGCTGGATAATGTGGCATACGCTCGTGCGTATAACTCAGACCATCAGCTTCAGCTACTCAACCAAGCTTCGCAGATGATGTGCGAGACTCGTTTCTCGCTCCTTGTCGTGGATTCTGCCACTTCTTTGTACCGGACAGACTTCAACGGTCGTGGTGAACTGTCTTCGAGACAAACACATCTTGCGAAGTTCATGCGTACCCTGCAGCGTCTCGCTGACGAGTTTGGTATTGCGGTCGTCATTACGAACCAGGTCGTTGCTCAGGTGGATGGTGGCCCGAGTGCAATGTTCAATCCCGACCCGAAGAAGCCAATCGGTGGTAACATTATTGCGCATGCAAGTACGACGCGGTTAAGTTTGAAGAAGGGACGGGGTGAGACTCGGGTCTGCAAGATCTACGATAGCCCATGTCTCCCCGAGAGCGATTGCCTGTTCGCTATCAATGAGGATGGTATTGGGGACCCGAGCCCCAAGGACTTGGAGAATGATTGAAAAGGGCGCGGATAGATTCTCAGGCTACGAGTTCATGATTATAGTTGTTTTGCTTGCATGTATAGGCTGCGTACATAATAATAGCCTCGGGAAATCCCGATATTTGACTAGTATATCATTTTCTGTAGGAAGACTTAATTCGCATTACCCATCGAATCGATTGGTGTAGTAGTTGCGGAGATGTAGCAAGGCGGTGGCAGCTTTATTGCTGGGGGCGGCGCCAAGACCTGTTTTTTCTGGAGCGCCGAAAGAGCTTCAGCTTCTGCCCTTCAACTCCGCCGTGCAGCGACTCCTCCCTCCAATTACCTCCATCGGCCATGGAGACTTGAACTGACCATTAACTCCAGATCGTGAAGTGTGGTCTGTTCCTTAGTCCAGTCATGGCTAAAATCTACAAAGATACCCGAGTCGACCTCCGGCCGTACTCGCCGAACGCCGTCGTCAACATCCCGATCTCGACCCAAGAAAGTACGCAAAGCCGCGCGCGATTCTCGGTCATCTCGAGCCCCAACCGTGACGAGCCGGTCGCGAAGGACGAAGACGAGTTTTCCAAACGATACTTAGCGAGCCAGGGTTCGATCTATTTCCGCAAACGCAATGTCTACCCCCGAACCTATCTGTGGAGGGTTGTCGATAACAGCAAGATCTTGGAGATCCAGTGCGTCGATCTGACCAAGGCTGGTATCGAGCACCACGAATACAATGTAACACTGCGCTTGGAGTTTGAGGAAGGCATTGTTCCTTCAGGTGTCGATTTTGCCGATCTGGAGGAGCACGAAGCGTTGAGCGTGTTCGTGATCACCACCTCCAAGACCCTCCACACCTTGACACTACGCCCTGAGTTCTTCCGTAGGACTGCATCAATTGACAACAACATCTCCGACTGGTGCAAGACTTTCAATCCCGCACCTCTCACATTTTCTTATCCACACCGTCTACATGCGAGCAGCCCGCTGGAGCTGTTCGTGTCTCTCGACAATGGCGCGCTTTTGCGCTTGACCAGGAAGTCTGGTGATGATGGTAAACTCACTATCCTTGTTTTAAATCACCACTTGTCATATAATTGCGATACTGATCTATCTTGATGTGTCCCAGGCTCGCACTGGTCTCCCCTGACATTCGACGAGAGAACCTGGGGCTCGTCGATTCGCGGGCTGGTCAAATGGCATGCGCAGCCGTCAATCAAATACCAAGGACGCACCCTCGAACTGAGCGCGCCAAACGCTATCGCTACTACAACTGATCAGACCTATGTATTCGCTGTCTGCTTGAATCACACGCTCAAGATCTGGAACCTTGCTACCAACAAGTTGGCCGCTACGAAGGACCTACTGGACCGTGATGTGCAACCGTCGGAGGAATCTTTGTACTCGCTGAATCCCTCCGAAACTTCTTTCATCAGGGTCTTTAATATGGAGCGTGCGCTTGACGGTGCGTACCGTTATTACGTCGTCACCTATTCGCCGTTTGAAGACGGGCTCTTCAAGTTCTGGGCTGTCAAGGGAGGCCTGACGTCGCCGCTTGTGATCGAGGATCTGTACCCGGGTGCTGCACTGAAGCCTCTGGATCCCGACTCGACCGGGAGCATGTTCTGGAGTATCGCCGATTTCCAGATCAAGCCTGCCGAGGAAGGAAAGCGCATGGAGCTGTGGGTTCTGTGGAGAAACAGCAGTCTATACCAGCTGTTTACGCTGCACTTCAACTTCGAAACCTTGGTGACGGATTGGAAGTCCAACTGGGCGTCTACAGTTATGGACACCCGCGGTCAGGCATACCCCCCCGTTATGGCCTTGTCTGACGTGGTGGATCCGACGGAGAAGTGGCTCGAATTCCTTCTGCAGCCCAACAAATACTCGACGGAGGTCCTTGAGACTGCCCTTTCCATCTACCAGGAGGCACTAAGACCTCTGTCGTCGCCCAGCGCGCTGAAGAGAAGCGCCCCTCTTGCGGAAAGGCTCTGTTCTACCGTTGCTGCCACTGTCTCTCTTCGCAAGTACGCCGATGATGGGATGGACTTCACACGGTACCGAACTGATACGGACTCGAAGTGGCGCCAGTTCTGGCAGATCGCGGATGATGTCAACAAGAGAAGATTTGAGCCAGTCTCTCTTGCATATGACACCTACTATGAGACACCGTGGATGGTCCTTTCCGACAGCTGTGCCGTGATTCGTGAATGCAGCGCAACCGAGCTAATTCTACATAACTCCGGCCCAGAGCTTCGCGCGGAAGCACCTAAAATCGTTGATCGCTGGAGGCACCGGAACCTGGATTCAGAGATCGGCAGCCTCTTCGAGGATGCCTCTCACCTTATGAACGTTGCCTCCAGCTTCCGGAGGAGCTTCGCTCCCGATCTCGAAGTGGCATGCCAGGGCGCCCTTGAAGCAGAGCTGTTCACTGAACCCTCCATCTCTGTGCAGGATAGAATGGAGGCGTTCCGCGAGCGATGTGATTTTGGAGAGCAGATCTCCAACAAGACATACGATGGCCTGGTTGGTGCCGTTAATGAGCGTCTGAACATCTTCAACTTGCCAAATGAAGTCTTCTACACCCTTGTGGACACGATACCACTGGGCTTCCCTGGCAAGGACTCTGATCTCGTCAACACCCATTTCGGTGTCAAGGTTATCGTCAACGGTGTCCAGGAGACGATTTCCTTTACGCGAAAGACTCTGACAGACCTCTTGTACATGATCCTTTTCATCGACGGTGAAGTTCAGCAGGAGGAAGACTCGACGTTCGACGCCGCAGACTTGTTTGTCACTATCATAACCCTCCTGAGGGAATACGAGATGATGTCTTGGTTGAGCTCGAATTCCCGCAAGTGCTCTGACAGACCGGCGAAGGCCACCGACGACATGTCCGTCACCTCGTTCTCTGTCAAGGAAACGCCAGCAAATAAGGGTGGTGAGAGGATAGCGACTATCCTTGAGGATCTGTTCGCCAGCGATATCAAGCCACGTCAAGCCGTCGGCCTGCCCCAGAGCTACACGATATCTCTTGGTATCCGCGATATCCTCTCCTGGGTGACTCGTCAAGGCGAAGTCGCCTATCCCAATGCTCTTGTCTACATACAATGCGACCTCATCGCTAAGAACAACATCGACCTTGCATGGGACTTCCTCCGCTTCCAAGCAAGCACATCCTGGGCCACCTATGTCAAGGGTCGGCTGTACGTGGCCATGTCCGAATACGATACTGCGGCTTTGTATTTCCGCAAAGCTGCCTATCTTCTTTGTAAGTCCTCGTCTCACATACATGTTGTGATCCTCTGTCTGACCTTGCACAGCATGCGGAAAGCCCCTGGGTAACCTGCACGAGATGTCCTCGACCCTCCTCGACATCGTCTCCGTGGACTGCTTCCACAACGGTCTTCCCAAGTACTTCCAACACATCTTGACCATATTCGAAAATGCGCGCTCGTTCTCCCACGTCGCCGACTTCGCCAGCCTCGCCCTACAGGCACTTTCTAGTGAGCACGGAAGCGAGCAAGACCCCGAATTCGCCAGCCTACGGGCCGATCTCCTCTCACGTCTGTTCTATGCTTCTCTACAGAACTGCCAGTTCGACCAAGCCTACTCTGCGCTGGCCAGATACAGAGATCGCGCACTGCAGAAGTCCGCCCTGAGCTCTCTCATCACCGGCATCCTGGCCGCCTCCGGACCCGGCACCGCTGGACTACAGAAGATCCTCCACTTCCCGACAACGCTCATCCCCAACATCGCCTCCCACGTAGACGACATCCTGGCCTCACTTGCCCGCAAACAGACCTCCTTCAGCTCCTACCTTGACACAGAGAGCAAGTGGGCCGACAGCACCCCCGACTACCAGCGAATCCTACAAGCATACCGCATTGCACGGGGCGACTACCGCGGCGCAGCAGAGATCGCCTACTGCAACGTCCAGCGCCTCCGCCACGCCCGAGACCACTCAACCCATCTAGTCCTCACCCGGGCGCGAGACACCGCCGAGGACAACCGACCCATCGAGGAAGACGACCCGGAGAGCAAGGAAATCCGCCACGAGCTCCTCTCCCTCATCAACCTCCTCGCCTGCGTCGACAAGAGCGAATCCTACATCCTCGTGGACAAAGACGGACCCTCCTCCTCCACCTTCAACCCCCTCACCGACCGCCGTCGCAGCAGCCTCGCCCCCGCCGACGACGACGGAAACGTCTTCATGGAAGACGCCGAAGCCACCACCAGTACTACTGGCGGCCCGGCCTCTCCCACCACCCCCTACAGCTCCTCATCCCACCCCAACCAACACCGTCGCCTCAGCGCCAGCCCAACCGCCATCCGTCCCTCCAGCCGTCGCGACAGCAAATCCTCCATCACATCCGCCACCGTCACAATCCCTCAACGTCGCGTCATCGTAACGCTGGACCATCTGCGTCGCGAGTTCCAGACCGAGCTGGATCGCGTCAGCCGTATCGAGCGTGGCGATTGGGAATTTGGAATCCTCGATGACGGTGATCCCATCGGCGGTGGCCAGGATCATGATGATACGATGCTTCTCGCGTAGATTTGCTACATTTAGCTTAAAGCTGATATCGCTTGATTTTTCCTTTATTTTAACCCATTGTTTTGACCATCTACTTTCTTCATTTTTTCCGTCCATCCATCCAATCATCTACTACGCAATAAGTACGGGAGTTGAAGGAATCTCTTAGTTTAGTCACTACCATCTATAACTAGTTAGCTAGGTAGTTGCCTTGTTACACTAGTCTAGTCTAGTCTAGTCAAGTCAATTCGGTTACATCGTGATCAGATCACCATTGTTCACATTAAATCCTCTTATTATTATTATCATTATTATTCTAATTACTACATTACCCGTAACCAGAATAGTAGCTAGCTAGTGTATATCTCCGATCCGGAACAATTTCCTTGGTTTTTTTTTTCTTCCTTTTCTCCCGCATGCTTCCCGCTCGCTCGATCGATCGATCTGGGCCGGCTGACTGGCTAGCTGACTGGCTTGCTGAAAGGGATCGTGTATGTATGTGCCCTGTAAAGTAAGTACTGACTCGTCTGAGTAGCGGGCTAGTAAGGCAAACAACGGCAAGAGCAGAAGGGTAATAAGATTTTATTTTAGGCCTAGAGAGAGCATTTTTCTTTCCCGGTGTGGTGTGGGTATTAGGAAGTTTCATCTAGCTTAAGCAAGTACCGAGTTTGTCTAATCTAGAACATTGGGGGTGTTGATCCTCTCTCTCTCGAAACAGCTTCCCAAGAACTGTTACTATTAGAGGGTTTCTGGTGGAATCATGTATGAAAGTCGACATGTGGATTTGGGGGGGTCCACGTAAGTCCGGATCTAGTTTGTCATAGAAGAAATATTATATGCCGGGTGATAATACCGGAGAGGATTAGTTTGGGTCGAGTTTCCTTGATTTCTTCCCTGTTCCTTGCCGTCGAGACATCCAGAGTCATGCATGCCTAGTGTGGGTGGGACACGACACGCTAAGGGATCGGGTCCATCCGCTCGCCCCCGCCCTTTTCCAGGGAATCGGGGAATGGTTGAAGAAGTGGCCCTTCTTCAGATCAAATCTCCTTTTCGCACATGTTCGCAGGAAGGAGAAACTCAATTATATTACCCGCTCGGATAGATCGAGCTTAAAAGTTTCATTAAATTAACCCCTAGATTTTAATTACTATGTATGTACCGTCATGAAATGTGACCCATCATGGTTCATATGTACCTCCCTGCTGGCCGCCCCACGCCATCAGACCAGCTAGCCAGTCACACTAAGCCTGGGGCGACTCCTCCTGTTCATCCATCGCCAAACTTGCATAAAGTCTGCTAAAGTGTGACTTGTCTGAACAGAGCAGGGTATGCGGGTTTCCGCACTCCACTATACGACCCGCGTCTAGAACTACAACCTTGTCGTAGTCGAGAATCGTGTCAAGTTTGTGCGCAACGGTGAGAATGGTGTGGGAGCTAAACTTTTCGCGGATGATCCGTTGCATTATTTCGTCGGTTTTGGTGTCCACACTGTGCATCGAATCCTGGTCAGTACTATGCCCGTGGTCCTGGGTTGGAAGGGAACGTGCGTACCTGCTTGTGGCTTCATCAAGGACAAGGATATTTCCTGGCCGGAGAATGGCTCGTGCGAGACAGAATAGCTGTTGCTGGCCATGAGATAGGAAGAGATCATCGATGTCGACGTCAAGGCCGCCTTTCTCCTGGACCTTGGAATACAGGCCCACGCTCTTGAGAGCATGCGTAATGGCTTCATCAGAGAAGCATCCCGTCGGATCGGCATTCGCTCTCACACTACCCTTCATGAGAAGGGGGCTCTGAGAAACCCCATTGATCCGCGAGCGGATTCCCTGACGTGGCAATTGGCTTATGTCGAGTCCGTCAATCATAATATGGCCGGTAGTGATATCCACCATACGGAACATGCTCATGATGAGTGATGTTTTACCACTAATCGAATGGTATTAGCGGCTAAGTGGCACAATACGTCGGTCAGGTTCCTTACCTTCCAGTCCTGCCGCAAATACCCACCTTTTCACCACCATGTATGGTCAGTGATACTTCTTGAAGGACCGGCTCAGAGGCCCTGCATCCGAGTAGAGTCAGCTCCGAAGCGATGTAGTGAATGGGATATCCAGCAATCCCTACCTATATTCTGCAGACACTGATTTGAACTCGATCTCTCCGTTCGATGGCCACTCCGGTGGTATCTCACGGTTTTCCGAAGGTAGATCCTCAGACGGTACATCTTCTGTGAATGTTCTGACACGATGGATCGAGCCAATGTGTGTTTCAAGATTCGTCCAGAAGGTTATCAGCAGTTTGATGCTTTGGCTGAACTGGATGACGTTTAGCAATGCCACTCCAACGTACCCTGCGCTAATTGAGCCCCTAAGCACCACAACAAGCACAATGAGCAAAACTGCAATGCCTGCAACCACCATATCTAGGCTGAGTGTAAGCCAGCGTTGGATGGCGTATAGAAGGTAGAAAGGTCTTTGGGAACGATCCAGCAGCATGTCATTCTTCTCTTGCAAGGCCTGTTGCCACCCAAAGGCTCTTAGGGTAACCAGACCACTAAGACAATCGGTAAAATGTGAGAAAAGTGGTGCCTTCTCTTCCAGATCTAGGAGCCGCAGTTGTCGAGATGTCCGGAGATACATCTTCTGTATAAGGTAGACGATGAGAATCACCAATGGGAATGAGATAGCGGCGTATTTCGAAGCAACGGCTATCAAGATCATCTGAGCTATGCAGAGAGCGAGAGCTAATAAGAGCCAACAGTAAGCGATAATGCTAAGGAGCTCATCTTCCAGCCTTGAAACCTACTTGCAAATGTGTTGATAGCAGCGATAGGAAGTTCCATGTCGATGAGCTGCAAATCCTGACTGAATCTGTTGAGAATAGCACCGCTATCAGTCTTGGAGAAGAACAACATCGGCGCACTATTGATGAGTTAGTGTGTATTCCTCGTATGCTATATGGGACATACCTGAGGACTGTAGTCAAGAGCTTCCGGTGGAAGACCTCTCCAGATTTTGGCACCATAGTAATCACCATTTGCCTAGGAAAAAGTTAGCTCGAGCTGTGCTCAGGGCTGCAGGTTGGATCACTGACCAACAACCAACCATGAGGCAGAGCATGCCAATAACACCGAGCATAGCATATATCCCGAGATAGTATCCTGTGTGCTTGCCAGGTTCCGCCTCATTCGAGCTGGCCCACCAGTTCACCCATATGCCTGCGTCAAAGTCAGTTTATTATTTGGCATTGGAGATATTTCTATGGCTCGTACTTGGAAAAGATATGCAGAAGACAAAGCTCGCTATAGCCACAAGAAAGATAATGGTAGGAATCCAACCAATAGCTTTGACGTAGTATAGGTAGATCGACAAGTCCCCGCCTTTCCCTTGTGTTTCTGTATCGACACCGGGCTCAGCTTGAGTATTTGCAATTTTCGGCTTTTCTATCGTTTCCACCTGAACACCTGATGCGGGGAACAAATCTGCTTTGTAGCCCCAATCGGGAAGACCAAGAGCAAAACTGGAAACATAGCCACCAGTTGCGTCAAGGGCCTTGAAGCTTCCTTGCTCTATCACATGTCCGTTCTTGTCAAGTACGACAATGTGGTCTGCATAAGGAGCACGTTTCACTGTGATTGATTAGCATAACCCAAAAATGTAGGGTATTGCAAGAGCCGTGACTCACCCGAAGAAGACGCGAATATAATGGTCGAATCTATCGAACGCAGGAGACCTTGGTTCCCAATCAGGTGGTGGAAGATATGATCTTCGGTTGTGGCATCCAAGCTGCTGAACACATCATCTAGAATGATAACACTTTTGCGAGAATAGACTGCTCTGGCTAGTGCCTACTGATATTAGTTCAAGTCGATCTGCAGGTATGGATGCAGCCTGGGCACCTACAATGCGTTGACTTTGACCACCACTGAGAGCAACACCCTTGCTCCCGATCACCGTCTGGTCACCCCGTGGTAACTGTTCAAAGTCCTCAGCCAAAGCACAGGCGTATATAACTGAGTTATACCATTGGCTATCAAAGGCAGACATGGCGACAATACAATCACGGATGGTTCCGTTCATGTGCCAAGGAGTCTGCTCGCAGAAGCTGAGGCTATCGAGGGAAAGTTGGATGTTCCCCTGGAGGCAAGGCACTTCTCCAAGGAAGGCTTTCAGTAGTGTAGACTTTCCGCAACCAGAGGGACCGATCAGTAGAGTGAAGCCACCTTGGGGAATTGACATGGTCAAGTTCTTCAGCAATGGCTCCTTGGTCGTATCCCATCCAAATGCGCCGTTTTGGATAGTGACAACATCTCGAACTGATGAAGGCAAACTTTCCTTTGACGATGGGAAAGAAGTTGATCTTGACTCAGTCGTGCTAAACTCTGTGTCCTTGATTAGAGCCAAATGGGACTTTTCGTCCAGCGCGTAGGATGAAAGCCCGGTCGACTTGTTTCTGGGATCGATGTGCTCCTTGTGTTCGAGAAATTCCTCAATTCTCTTGAACGACCCAACTGACCCAGCAAAATTCATTAGAGCCATGACGAGAGACAACAGAGGGTCAGACAAGAGCGAAAACAGAGACAACGATGTATAGACAACTGAGGTCGTTAAGGCGGCATCATTTCCTCGATCGTGAGAGATTCCGACGAAAGCCCCGAAGGCGAAAATAGGCGCAAATATGCGCGTCAGCCAAGCTAAAAGCGTATGGTCAGACAAATTCATCCTATATGTAGGCCGTAAGCTTACCAAGGGCCATATTCCAGACCAGAAGCTTCCGGAATTTCCTGGAGATACTCAACTCGTCCAGACGTAGACCATGAACACTTTTAAGAAGCGCTGATTGAAGACCAAGCATCTTGATGCCTTTCATAGAACCAAGCATAGATGATGTTGATGAGATGCGCCTCTCAATAGCCTCAAGCCACCTAGCTTGTCTTGACATGACGAAAGACATTGCTATAAGCGAACCGACTAACGCCACTAAAGAGAAAGAAGGAAATGTGAGCTTCTATGACTTCCAAGGAGTCAAGAAGGGCAGTCTTACCAACAGCGACACCAACAGGGACGACGCAAGATAAGCCCAATTGCCGTTCGAGGAGGTAGATAGCCAGACCGATCTCGAGGGCATTGCCCCAGATATCATGCATAGTCTGCCAACCTTGCACGATTCTCTCGATGTCTGCGCTCATCAATGTGACAGAAGAAGCCGGATCCGCGTCTTTAGTACTCAAGGTGCACGCTTTTTCGTAGATCATAGAAACTACTCCGCCTCTGACCATTGTGATGGATCGATATGTTAGATGCTGATATTGGCCCATGGTAACCTAGCATCACGCCGTGTGAGAGACTGAAGAAGAGAAGACAGGTCTGTTTTACTTACTCCCAGCCCAACATAAACGAGTATATATGCACCAATTAGACCATATCCAATGTTATCCGTGCTTTTGCTCACAGGCTGCTCGGAGAATGATAGAGACCTTTCCAGCAACAGGGGTTGGCAAATATTGAGGGCAGCCAGCATGATCCGTGGCGGAATCACGGCTAAAATTGGCCATTTGAACGCCTTCAGGCAGGCGGACAACAGCGAGCTTCCACCATTTTCCTTGTCTGCCAAATGTCAACGCCTATTGACCCCGTATCTCCAATGCATAGAGAATCTTACCCTTGGCAACCACACCCTTCAAGATACGGTGCAGCCTCCTGGATTCCAACTGTTTGTCGAGGGCAAACAAATCATCAACACCCAGGACCTTGGAAAACCCGCGACGGAACAGAGCATTCAGCCACCAGAAGAAAGACCTGTTGTAGATGCCCGCGAGAGCTTCGGGCGGGTAGTCTTGATACGGATGTCTGAGGATGTATCGCTTTTCCGTGGCTTCGAGGATGAGAAGAAGAATTTTGAGCCCAGTACCCACGGCAGTAAGAATCGCGATAACTTGATTGATCTCCTCAGGATGCCGCAGCCAGAGCGTTCGCGTTTTCGCTATGTCGAAAAGTAGAGTCGCGCCAAGGTAAACGTTGAGAAGAAAAGACGGCCTGACTGACAGATTGTGTTCTGCATACGAGAAAAGACAGAGTAGCAGAATTCCCACGGTCAATACAGCGTTCGCAGCAACTGAGGCGTCCGTTCGTGTCGCAGATGGAAGGGCCCAGAGAACCGTCAGGGCCAGATTTATGACGCTTAATGCGAGCCATGACACCTGTGAGAGACATGGAGAGTACAATGGTCAGCGACAGGATCGCGGGGTCATTGAGAAGTCACGGGTTCGACCAAGTCCGACAGAGTCGCGCCTGCCTATTCGAGCAGGTGGACGGATACGCTCGCTTTGGCAAGAAGGCAGTCTGGAAGAAGAAATTGGGTACGTACTGTCTTTGCCCATGCCAGCCAAGAAGCTACGACTTTGCGCGGTCTTCCTAATAGATGACCGACTTGGAAAGGTATTAACAACAGAACAACGCCCAAAGGTAATACCCCCAGGATTAACTCTTCGAAGAGCAGCGAAAAATCAAAGCCACTTCGACAATATGAGGGGGGAATATGTAGAGTGTTGTCCACCTGCTGGCAGGAGAGAAGTGCCGCCATAACTACCTACACCCGGAATTCCATTTACAACCGCGGAGGTAGGTATCCAGAGTGGGATGCAACGATATGCTTTTGGGACGACAGGGAATCACTGTAGATTGTTAGGTTTTATGTTCAGCAAGGCTTACTGAGGTGGACTTGCAACCTTTTGTTTTTGCCTTGCGAAGCCTAGACTACCAGCTCTCCAGGGATGTGCATTTTTTTTTTTTAGTTTCCTAACCATTGTAAGTACCTGATACTAATCGATAGGGCCTCATGATCAGGGGCAGTGCTAGTCCAATTGTCCTCGCATACAATGATATAATGAATATGCTATTTCTAATACTGTGTCTCAGTTTTCCCCTTGTATTGTTTTTATTTCTATTTTCATTCCTAGTTTTTTATTTAAAATTACGCTTGGGTTTAAGCGTTTCGGTTACTCAATTGGGACTACGTATTTTCCATCTTATATTAAAATAATACTTATTAATCCATACCGGACTCCACCTAGAACTAAGTACTTGCCGATGGCGATTAGCTACGTTGCAGAGTCCCCAGGGCGCTCGGCTGGAGATCCACCTTGGGCTCTGCACCAGCGCATCCATGGATGGTTAAGGAAAGCGAGAGCTGTTTCGAGCAAGATGATTCGGCCCGTTCCACCCAATTCCTGCTCGAATGCATGTTTGCTTTTCCCCCGGTCCCCTTCGCAGCATTGCTTTTCTTGCCTCGCGCAAGCGTTATAGGCTATCAATTCTCCTTGCCCTCGCATGTAACGTAACGATGACTTTTTTTTGTTCATGGGACCACGACCGGCCAACACGAGTTCGGTTCGAGCCTACATAGCCCATCGGGCTGATGAGAGGCGCTCCTCAAGTTCATCAGGTACACGAAAAAAATCAAGCCCAGTTCGTAGTTCGCCCCCACTGTTTTCGATGCTAACCATCCCATCCGTCCGAAGACTGAACTGAGCCCGCTGGCCAAGCTCGCTAATGGGATAGTGTACCTTCCCGACCATTGTTCTCAAGCCATTGTTCCATCCGTCAGACGTGGGCAAAGAAAGCCACGAGCGGACCGAATCAAAAATAGGAAGTTGTGTACCAGGATCCAGTAGTATCTACCTGCCTCAAAGCAGGCCAGTCCACTGAAAAGGCGCTTGAACTACTAGTGAGCGGTCTGGAAGCCCATTTTAATGCCGTACACAAAGTGGCAGAAGTGATTCAAATCCCGACTGACACCGAAGGTGGCCACTGACCGCTCAACTAATCTTATCCCTCATAAAGCTTCCAACCCAGCTTTCCCCGCAGTGGGATGCGAAACCTGGATATAACCGAGATTGCCAGATAGAGTTTGCCTTGCAAACCCCCTTCGTGTTGATCCTGCCAAATCCGAAAAGGACGTAGACGTCATCATAACAGGGCGCTTTTGCGAATTTACAACGAAAAGCTAGGGAACGGCTGAACTTGACAAATCGGCCATGTCACTCCACTAGATGGCCATTCCGACGAGATTCGCCATCGAATCAGGGATATCGCTCCCCATATCCACAGTTGTAGAGACCAGTCTTAGGTGAATAGATGCTTGCCTACCAGGAGTATGACATTGGGTACATAGGAACGTACCGCAGTCAACTGACTATTGAGTAACTTGTGCCCAGTCTCACGAGAACAGAAACATGGTGGCAAAACATTTGGTCTAATCGGTCAATAAATACGACCATGATCCGGAGGCTAAAGGCTTCCAGTCATCAAGCTAGTTGCAAGCGAAGTGTAACGTTGTTTCTACCCTTATGTGTGTGGAAGCACTCAACGTAGTAGTGGCTGAGGACCCAAGGTAGGACGGGTAGGATGGTCGCCACAAGCGGGATAGCAATTGAGAGTTGATTGTTTACACCCGGGATCTCGAGCAGGAGACCTTTGGTACCTGCTTTGTCGAGAGGTGCGTGTATGTGTGTGAGTGGGTACAGAAGAGCATACGTCCATGGTAGGGAGGCGCCCAGGAACTAGAACCAGAAGGAGAGAGCGGCGCTCACTGTTTAGGACACACAGTGGACGAGCACTGTACCAGTAGATGGACAATTAATCGGCAGAAATTCCTTGCATCTTGGAGAAGGATTTAGTGGCTGAGAGTTGGCTGCATACCCACCATTAAGAGTGCTGTTAAGTTGGCTACACACGGCCTCAAGCTTGGATAATCGCATTCGTTAGTAGCGGAAGTGGAGATGGGATGGCTTTGGCGGTTGGCCACTCCCAATTACAGTATAGTAGAGCCTTTAGTGCTGCGGAAGGCTTCCGGCTGCCGTGACCCGCCTGGCAGCCTGGCAAGACTTGACCTGAGCGTTCCTTTACTGCTTTGTAACTAACTACTAACTACTTAACTAGTTAACGTTAACTAACTAGGCCCTCCGGAACCGACTAACCAACTGTGTACAAAGCAGTGATTAGATAAAATGCCTTGGATGCCTGTTGGGCGGGAGAAACCCTCCCATACCCCATCGGTGCTACTGGATGGCCGCCCCCCGTTGTCGCTCTCGACCACATCTTAATTCCCAGTTCTAATTAGCCCCTATCCCCGACTTGTCTAGAGGAAAATCCACACGACTTGGCCTTTCCTTCTCCCCTCGGCGCAGATCCTGTCATCGACGCGATTTTTAGATCATAGGCTGGAGCCCAAAAGCCTAGACACCAGGCCGGGACCAACCTCTCTATGCTTACTTTTTTCTCTAGCCTGCAGTAGTGAACTGTCAACCAAGACATCGACGCACGACACAGAATGCTTTTCCTCTGTTTTCCCTTTTTCTCTCCCCATCATGGACACACCCTTCATGTCACTTACCGTGCTCCGTAGGTACCCGTTGTATTCCTTTAGTCCTCGGTAAAACGGATATCTCGTATTTCAACAATTTTGAAGAGATCACGGAGCATTGTGCCTGATACAATCTGTCATACGACATGTTTGAAATCCAAAGAAAGTGGTAGTTTCGATGACTCGCGACATGATCAAGCGACCAGCAGTATCTTGACAGTCCCATGAAACATGCCGCACTTTATTCTCCGGAAGCTATGAACATTTTTTTTTTTTTTTTTTTTTTTTTTTTCCCTGTTTTTTTCCCTTGAGCGCGATCGATCGACTTGATTGATACTTAGTTCCCGGACCGAGTAAGGATCGACCTCCGTCCTTACCCGCCCGTTCCTGACCCCATCGCCCCGATTTTCCTTGCTTTTCTCCTATTGATCCGGGTTGCGTCTGTCAAACCTGGATGACGAAGGATCGGCCCTCCGACAGAAAGTAAAAGCAAACTGGGAAAAAGAAAAAAAAATTTTCTTGTCTGTTATTTTTCCTTTTTTTCTTTTTTCCCTTTTCACGAGCGGTGATGGTGGGAAAATTGTGATATGCAGCTAATCCATATAACAGCTAGCATGCAGTACTAACGACTCCATTCTCATCTTCCTATGGCCTCAATTATCCGAAGCGCCGAATCCGTTTCTTTAGCCCCCTGCCATCCTTGCATGGTTATTGATTTTTAGCTCGCATAGACTCTCCCGAAGGTATCAGCTATTTATGTCAGGAAGGTTTTGATCCGATAACTACTAATCGCCGCGGCGGTCGGAAACCATCCAGCCCGATGTAGAAGTTGAGTGGCCAATGATAGAGTTCGGGGTACATGCTGGGTTCACGGTAAACATTGGCTACCCAATGGGAAATCGAGGGTTCCCTCCATACAGGATAGATTTATTGGAACTCAATTTCACCGATCTTCCCACCAACAAACCATAAACACGGAGTATATGTAGCGAGGGTTATGCGTACATAGCGATCTATTCGGATAACCACAAGCGTATGTACACGTCAAGTGGCCACCACGGAGGAACGCAAGGGCTGAACTCTCGTGTTCAATGCAGCATTGATGCAATGCCGTTGGTGAGAATATCGCCGTCGCTAGTACGTACGTAGTAGCAACTTCGGAGGAAGCTTGAAATAGCAACTGGCTTCCTAACAAAGAACTCCCCTTTCTCAAATTTTGTCTGATTTAGTTCAGTTGTGGGTGTTGAACAATTCGTCATCTTGCATTAGAAGCTATCCTACTCTCCGTTGGAGTGATCCGTCGGATTTAGATTTGGCATATGAAGGAGTCATGCTAATAGCTTACTCATGCGCCCAGCTCTCTATCAACTTAGTATTTTTACTACTTTGTATGTACTTAATAGAAGGGTATCTATTGGTAGAATAGCACTAGCTTTGCTCCGACGGTCTGACCGTCTTTACTACCTAAAAGGGGAAACGGTAAACTCCGCTGTTAATAACTTTAATACATTATTGCCGCCCCGACACCCACCCTATCTGGCTGTACCTGATCCAAATCATCCAATATACTTTGCGGAGTATATGATGAACACTGAAAAATATGCAAAACGAGAGTATTTTGTAAGTCCCAGCATAAGTGGACTTGAATTTTCAGGTTAAATCGCGTGCAAGGAAAGTGACGGAAAAACAGGTACCTATCATGTGAGACCCTCTTCGCTTTTTCTTTTTGTTAATTTCTTATCCCCCCCTCCGAGTCCGGAAGATTATTTTTTTCTCCTCCCACTCGAAAAAGGAATACTAGCCCCTGGTTGTGGGGTGAACGTATACGAGTTTCAGTTGGATATGAGATCCATACTCATAACAAGGCATATTATCGACTAGAGCCGGCTTAGGGTATGGAGCCGTACAAGCCCCAATGAAATCCGAGTATTAGCTTCCCGATCAGGAACTGGACTTTTGTACCCGGTCAGTTAGTAGCAACTTCACCGTCCACCACTCTCCGTGTCCACTTACCCCCCAGTAGAGCCTGGATCTCTTTTCCCTACTCGCCTGCAGTGTGTCTGAGTTTCGGGGCTTCCTACTCGCTCCCTACCGTTCCGACAGTTCTCCGACAGATTTCTGAGTACACTTAGTGTTATAGCCGCTACGTGCAATTACCCAGGTAGGTATACCTCCTGGTGACTTGGCCCAACGTCGAGACTAAGACCGCTGAGACCTTT